CTCCTTGGGTTTCCGAGGCAGTATCACTACAGAAGTAGGATTGCCCAACCTTCCTTCCGAAGAGTGGCTGGTGGGTTTGAACCGCCAGCCTTCTGCTTAGCAGTCAAGTGCCTTAGGCACTATGCTACCAGAGCTCCTAGCATGTTGTAAGGGCTAAATAAATGTTAACCATTATTATTGCTGTTATTTTCACTGTAAAGGTATGTATGGGAAAGGAGGGATGCTAGAGGAAGAGGAGAGAACCAACATTTATTTAACAGCTTTCACATGCTGTTCACTATTCTAGGTGTTTTATGTGTCATTACATTTAATCCACAAAATAACCCTGGGAGGAAGTAAATATTCCATTTTACAGATCAGATAAGGAAATGGGCTTAGAGAGATTAAGCCTTTTACTACTCAAGGTCACAGAGCTAAAAAAAAATAAAATAAAAAGCAGAATTCTCAGTCACTTGATTTCTGTTCACCAGGCACAAGGAGTAGGCCTTCAGATTCTGTCACAGGACTAGATGTTGATCAGGAGGGAAATCTACCCTCCATCCCAAGTTTAGGACGAGCAGAGCTGCTTCAAATCAAGAATTAAACCCCTTTAACTTCATTTATTCCTCCAAGAGGCTTATTTTTATTTTGGTCTTCTCACTTATTCTTAAGTGAAAGTCAAAGAAGAACCATTCTATTTTTAGAAAAGACCTGTCCACAGAAGTAGAGGTTTTCAATGATTAGCTTTAGCTTCCAGAGACTCTCTGCACAGACTTCCAGTGCAGAAGTTGCCAAACTTCTGTATATTTGCAAGAGAGCACATACCTCTGTTAAATCAAGAGGCTGTCAGCTCACCTATAAAGCATCCTAGTGTCACTAATCTACAATAAGTTTGAGGCAATGAAGTATAAGTAATTCTTATTACAAACCACAATTTACATATCCAAATGTGTATTTTCCTTTTGAGGGCAGTCCTCTTGGGGGTCTACATATTTATTTTAACCCCGCTGGGATCACTCCAAATGAACATGGAAATCCTCTTTCAGAAATGTATCTTCATCTTTTGAACATAGTTTGAAGTTTTAGAAACAGCCATCCTGCTGCCAGTGTGCCTAATCTCTAAACAAAGCAAAAAGGCAGAGGTTTTGAACTGTTAAGATACAAAATTTTAAGTTACAAAATTTACACACATTCAAACTGGAGAACTAAAGTTCACTAATCAGCCCTGTTGCACAGAGGCAGAGTCTGCAGGTGTAGAAAATGCTTTAGTAAGCCCCACCTAGCACTGCTAGGGCAAAGCCTGGGGGCTGGACTAATTCCAATCTTAACGTAAAAGGCTACCAAGCTAGTAACAGAGCCGGAACTCAGATCTGGCCCAAATGTAGCTTGGAAAAATGTCTTTCCTATATGGCAAACAATTATTGTGCCAAGGAATTCAGAACTTAGAATACAGAGAAAGAAATGAAGGGTACTGGCTGTACCGTGGGTTGCTCTGGTTCAAAGCACGTGCTCATTGTAGGGACAAAAAGTTTTAGTGAGTATAAGGCTTGGCCCAACATGCTGGTACAAACCCCACAGAAGCCAGAGGGAGTTGGTGGAGCTGTTTAGTTCCCTTGGTGCTGTGGCCTAAGACAGGTTGTCTTTCCCCACAGAGAATCTGGAAAGAAGATGTAGGAGACGGACCACATCAGGCAGTAAAAAGGAGTCAGAGAGAATGGAGACAAAAACAGCATGATGACACCTAGAAGAAGAAAATATGCAAACACTCAATTTTTATGAACCTTTCTTATGTGTGTTTTCCACCCCTCCCATCCCCATCATCCCATGTTATTCCTTCCTTCCTTCCTTCCTTCCTTCCTTCTTCACTCACAGTGCCTGAGACAAAAACAAATGAGACATAAGTCCTATCTTTGAGAAGCTCAGTTTAAAATGGTTAAAGTGCTTGCTGTTAATCATAAGGTTGGTGGTTCAAGTCCACCCAGAAGCACCCTGGAAGAAAGGTCTGGTCATCGACTTCCAAAAATCAACCACTGAAAACCTTAAGAACACAGTTCTACTCTGACACACATGGGGTCACCATGAGTCGGAGGCTGTGCAAGGGTAACTGGTTGGTAAGTAACTAGACAATAATGTAATCTCAGGTTCCATTGAGTTGTCAAAGCTCAGTTTAGAAATCAGTCCTAACCAAGAATAAATTGGAATTGTCCAGATCCCTTATGAGAAAAAAAATCTTACTAATTATTTCAAGTTTAACATATGTCAATGGACAGTGTGATACCAGTTGTTGTAGAAAAGAGTTAACATAAGCAGGCCTGAGACTACTATCTTTAAAAAGGCCTGCTGGGCCCTTGGCTGGCGACGGGGAACAGTTCCCTAGAGAACTTTTCCTAACTGTAAAGAATGGCTCGCTGTGCCTAGACTGTACAAAGTAGTGTATGCTGGATACCTGATTTCCTTCTAGGAGTCTGGAATTGGCTATGTGCTCAACAGAAGGTACCTATGTGACCAGGCTTTATTAAAAACCTGCGGCAGGTTTTGAAAAAAAGCTCTAATGAACTTCCCTAGTACACAGCACTTCACATATATTGTCACAATTCAATGCTGGAGGAATTACACTTGTCCTGTCTGACTCCACTGGGAGAGAACTTTTGGAAGCTTGTGTTGGGTTTCCTCTGAACTATGTCCCCTGTACCTTTTCCCTTTGATGGTTTTGCTTTGTATCTTTTTGCTGTAATAAATCCTAGCTGTCGGAACAACTGTATGCTATGTCCTATGAGTCCTCCTACCAGATGACCAAACCTGAGGGTAATCTTGAGTACCCTTGACACAATTTGAACCTATTTCACCAACAAAAGCCAAAAGGGCACCAACATTTGTGGAATTTCTTTTTTGTGCTAAACGTTCTGCTAGGTATGTCACATAAATTATTTCATTTACACTTCATGACAATTCCATGATTTAAAATTATCCATATTTTTCAGATGAGGAAACGGGATATAATTTATACAAGGTCCTGATTCAAACCTATGTCAGCCTGACTCTTAATAACTAGACACTTTCTAGATACATTCCCCCACAGAGCTCAAAAAGAAGTGGGAGAGTATAGCCACAGCATTTCCATGGGCACAACTCATAACTTTCTACAAATATTTATTGAGCAATTATTATGTGATTGGCATAACTCTAGGCACTGGGGATTATAGCATGCTAGAGAGCATCCCTGTCCACATAGGGCTTACATGTCCATGGGAAAGGCATATTTAATATTTATAAAACTCATATTTTGTCAGATGATAATCTATGGACAAAAATTAAGCCGAGTGAGATAAGGAATGCTGGGATGCGGTACAAGGGATGCTGGGCAACACTGATGATAAACCCACCACTGGGTTTATTATTATCATTTGAGAGCAGTATTTTCACTCACCCCCCAGATAAACCACTTTTTTCCAGTTCTCAGACTCCAAGATTTCTTCATGGGGATAGTAGGTCTGGTCCATCATGAACAGAATCATGAGCGAGGCCACGCAGCATAGAATGAATGTGTTGCCTTTGGTCAGAAGGGAGGTTGAGGCCAAAACACAGGAAGCATAGGGGCAGGGTAGACCCTTGTATATGAAGGAAACTCCTGCCAGGGACAGAAAAGACGAGGATTAGCTGCTTCCTACTGTTCAAAAAAAA